TGTGTGTGTGTGTGTGTGTGTGTGTGTGTCTGCGTGTTCGCACTTTTTTGTCACTCACTTTCAACTCGAGAATTAGAAAAGCTGGAAAGCTGAAACTTTGGGAGCATGTGCCCATACCATGCGCAACCCTCTCATTTTGATATCATCCTTCGCGGACGCCTAGGTGTTGCGTGCGGACGCTGTAAAAAAATATGCAAATTTTCGGCGGGAAAGCGATCTCGGGAACCACACGAGCTAAGAGGCTGAAACTTTGTAGGGGTATTCCCTATGCATGTATTAGCTAAAAATTTCAAACTCATTCCCCAGGTTTGCGTGGCCCTCATATCGGTGGTGCTCACTCGCACGGGTCCGCACGATGCTTTCTAGCCTGGGTTCGAATTTGTGCCACTGAGAGAAATGACAAACTTTTAAAATTGTCGACTTAAACCCAATATGTTACTAATCCCATCCTCCATCACATGTACCTATACACTGCACTTGTTTGAGTTCTTCAAACTGATAAATGCTTAAATTTCCGAACCGAAGAAACCCTAAAATCCATTGTGTAGAATTTTGACAAAAAGGCAATTTATACAGTGGATGAAGGAGCGTATATGCACATACGCATATACACACGCATGCATGCAAAAAACATTGCCATACGGGTCTATTTCTCACCTTGAAACTACTTTACCAAAGGGATCTCGTACGCAGTAGAAAGAAAAATCTGTATTTACGAAAGAACAAGAGCTGCCAACGACTGTTTGTAGGCAGAGTTTTTGGCACTGTGTTACTGTGAATTTGTTTGTTTTGCGGTTGCTTCCCCTCATAATTTTGTTCTGACCAATTAATCCTGAAAAAATAAATCAGATCAAAGAGGTTTTGTTAGTATGTAAGCACTGTAGCAAACCTGGATGAAACAGCCGAAACCCGAAAGATTTGTGGACACAGAAGGAACACCCATTACTGTGCATTCTGCAGGAGTATAACCCCACGGCTCGTAGTAACTGGGAAAAACACCGATGTGACATCCACGAACAAACTCTTCGTAGTCAAGTCCTATCAGTGGTGAGACTGATGATAAAAATTCTGAAACACAATTAATAAGGTACATTTTGAAGAGTGTAAGAAGGCAAGTGAGACAAAAGGAATCTTTTGTATGCTATAAAAAGAGATTGTAATTGCATCGAAATTGGATTCGACAATGCTTTCAGTATAAAGACAATATTCTGAAGTATTTATTGAAACGCAACAAAATCTGGGACTGGCTTAACATAAGCAAAGTCATGAAATAGATTTTCTGGGCCATCCTCTCATCTCATTTGTTCTTTTACAAGAATACTTACTTGTTTTACCGAAGTAACGCTTTTTATGCGTTTTTGCTGTGCAGCGCTGTAGCGCTGCTGCAGCCAGCAAAAACGCATATTGTCGAGAGGCTCTGTGTGTGTGTG